TTACTCAAGCAGTTAGCCCTGTGTGGTATTAACTCATTGTGTAAACAGGCCATATTATAACTAAGCAGTTTTTCCATCTTTTTTGGCTTTTTTACCTTTGTAGTTATCAAAGATTGTTACATATTGATTGTTCAGAGATTAAAATTTGTGATTTATTAGTATAGAAGTATTGCGATTAAATTCCAGATTACATTCCAATAACATTCCAAATATGAACTGTGAAAATTACCCAATAACTCTATGCTACTAATTTGTCAGTTTTGAAGAACAGCTTTGCGATTTGATAACTGCACCATCTAAAACTGCAGCTGTGATTTGGTTGTGATGTATTGTGAAGCCGGCCCTAGTTGACGTACATTTTAAGACAAATGCTCTTCCCTGCACAGCTTTCAAGTAACTGCATTGTATGTTGTCAGTAGTTGCTGTGTTTGTGGTCTGTTAATTCACCCAGGTTTGACCTTCATGAGTGCGCACGGCGGGTGGGTGCATGGGTGGGTGGGTTTGGCGGTTGGGTGGGTGGGCTGCTCCTCTCTTAGCCCTCCTTCTGTTCTGGTCCCACTGGGCTGGATTGGATTGGGGCCTCATTGTCTTACCATAAGCAGCTCTGGACCGGAGATTGTCTGTGCTAATAATTAGACTGGCCCACGCTCTGTAAGCTAAAAGTGGAGTGTTTGACAAGTGGACACAATTGTTTTGGTATAGAATTAAAGTGTGTGTAAGTTTTGATGATTCTTTAATTTTGACATAATTAGGTGGGATAATACCTGTTGCAAATCTGAATTATAGTTTTATATCAACCAATAAGAAATTTACGAAAAAAGAGTTGAAAAATATGTTGGAAAATTACAGGAATTAGAGAATTATACAATGAGCACATCACACTGGGAGAGTTCTATCCAAACGTTAAACACAGTTACAGCATTTTACTTTTAACTTACATTTTATTTTTTTACATTAGAGGAGTGTTGGCCAAGATGTTTGCTGTGAAAGAAATTCAATTTCTTAAATATAATGATCTTAACTGCGCCCTACTCATTTTACCTAAACTTATTCTCATAGGCACTTTAACTAAATTTTTCTAATTTAGCAAACAGTCTAATGTTTTAATATAATAACCCTGATTATTTTCTGCACATACAAAGGGACAGATAAAAGAAAATAAGATTGCATGGGTCAACGATGTTCTCAGTAACCCTAAAAGGTTCCTCTACTCATGAAAATGTATACAAAAAAATTGGAGCCCAATAATACAAATATTTTAAACAGTATTTTATTGAATGTATGAACATGATTTTTTTTTTCTGTTTTGTTGTTTTAGTTCTAGATCAGGGGTCTTTAAACTTTTCAAACCACCAAAATAACCACATAAGTGACCCAGAAACTGCACTGTAAATGACACTTGTAATCATTTCAAGTTGTGAAACATTAACATCTTTCATTGTATTCATTTGAGTTATCCATTGTGTTATTGACCTAATTTCACAAAAAAGTATTGTTTTCAATTTAAAAATATTGATTAAATGTGTCAGTGTCATAATTTTAAAATGTTGTCTTCCACATCATCTGTAATAAGTATTGAAAAATTAAAAACAAATGTAGATTAGACTGACTTTGTTTGGAGGTTGCTTGGAGGAGTTAGAGTACAAAGTGCAAAATATTTCTAATAAATCACCTCATTAAATAGACTGTCAAAAATGAGGAACTCCAATGAGGTAACTAATAATAGACACATAGAATGGGTCACAGCAGGGCATACATTTGCTCAATAACTACCAAATCATAATGGAGTTCAGTACACACAATGAGCCATTCTGTGACAGCCAGTTTTGCAAGAATCAGTGCACAAAGAATGCATCTGCCTTCATAAGTCCATCAAACTTAACTTGTCCCCATCATCCATCAGTTCTCCCTGGTCTGTCCTTGGCTTGTCCCTGCGTTGCCTGGCAGTGGGTGTCCTTTGGCAGGTCTCTGGGGACATAGCAGCTGTACACACTTGTACATTCTCTACTCTGTGTGGACATTAAGCTCTATATTATATGGGCTTATGATGAGTCAATAAAATCATATCATATACTCAGGATAATGATATACCCAGTCATAAAGGGTTGATGCTAAAAGTGCTTGATCACTGTGCGCCTAATTAAATACAACTATGGCACAAATATGGCTGCTAATGCTCCCCTATCTGTCAAATGATGGAGATAGTTAAAGTTCAATAGCAGGTTTATCTTTAAGGTAGTGCAGTGAACTTTGCCTTAAATTAGTTCCCAGCATTTGCGTAGAACAGTATGGTAAAATAAAGATTAAATTTGTAGAGCGACATAAACGGCACCTGGCTTAAAATATAAATATGGATTCCAACCATTGCTTTTTTTTTTTTTTTTTTAACTGACAATTCAAAGGGCCCATATTATGTTGTTTTCTGATGTAGCTGTGGAATTGTCCATCTCAAGTTAAAAGGTAGCTGTTTGAGTATTGAGTAATCTCGGATTATTAGTCTGTCTACATCACCAAACATGTATGTTCTTGACAATATTATAACATGGCTTAAATCCATGCACAAGAGACAATTTTGTTTAATATAGCATAGTAATCTAGTGTTTCTTTGGGGTTTTTTTTGACAGTAATTGGTCAATATTTGGCATTCCATCCATTAACTGGTCCTAGTTTCTCTCTGCTTACCCAGGCAGTTGTGTATATGCAATAAAAATACATTCAAACATCCAATCTTATATTTTATAGCTGTACATTTTCTTCGTATGTGAGAAGGAGGTTTTAAATGGACCCAGTGTCATCAGATAGTAACAGAACCACAGACCTGGTTCAGGCTGCCATTGCTTGAGTAGAGTGAGCTTGTTAGTGAGAGCCTGAGGAGTCGGGACACGCGGGGTCAGCCGGAGATTGGTTCAGCTGGGACATAGTGAACACAGCGGGTGGAGGTTTGCTGCAGAGCTGTGGGTCAGAGTCAGGGGTACAGAGACCAGAACTTCACTAATGCTGACATATCAAAACATAACCAGGCAGAGAGCCTAGATATAAATATAGCGGTATTAGATAACTCTAGTCAATGAAACATTAGCAAAGTATAAAAATGTATTTTTTTTTTTTTGTTTATTTTTTTGCTTCTGCACATGTGTCAAATGTACCCATGTGGTTTAGACTGAAGTGTAATCTAAACATCATATTGTTCCAAATTGTCATTGATTGGGGCTTGGGCCTCTAACTAGTCAATGGAACATCCACCACTACGTACATTTCAAGAAATTATAGAAAAAAATAGATTGTTGTCTTTTGTTTAGTTTTTATTTTTTCTTTTTTTTGCTTAATCATTATCAGATTATTTCAAATTGTAAATGATTGGCTGCAGTTTCACTTAAAAACCCCAATCTTCTCACTGGAGATGTGATTGCTTTCCCTGAAATGTTCCACATTATACTTATTCCTTGATTTCTTTCCTGATAAAAAGTACCTGAGAAAACTGACTTACTGTCAGGTTGCCTCTCCACAGACCTGACTTATAATTTTGGCTGGTAGCGCTACCTGCTACCATGGAACAGTCCTGGATGGTTCTAACATCTCTATAGAGACAAGATGGTGCATAGCCTCAGAGAGGGCTCATAATGCTCTGTTCCACTTTGTGATGTCTTGAAGCTGTAGTTTTCATGTTAACAGCTACTTTTTACCTTTTATTTAATAGAGACTGGAAATTCCAGGCCTGAAATTATCCAAATGATTCTAGTGAAGGTGTGTTTAAATGTGCGAATGAAACAAAACACAACTCCAGGTATCTTTGTGATGAGGAAACAGCATTAAAAGAAAATAATGTAATTTTAAAAATCCAATAAAAATCATGATTGGTCTATACAAGGGAAGTAAAGTGTTTATTTTATGCCATCTTGTTCATTTCCAGTATAAACCTAATGTTCCTTATCACATGTTCCAGGCAATGGAAAATACATGGCAATAAAATTACCCACATCCCAGTCTTTCCTATTCAGCATCTATTAATGTGCTGTAAACAATAGTGACCGAATAGCATGGCAACGTGATCCACTGTTACACCACTCTCTGTTAAGATCTTTGTACTAATATAGAAAGATTTCAATTTGATAGTATCTATGTTGTCACCAATAGCTTCGAGTTCAGTAGTGCTTCGTTGATTGAGGGCATTGCACTTGACCATTTGGTGTGCACGCTGAAAACATTGGTCAATATTTTAGGGACAGAAACAGGACAAACTGGTATCTGTGTCACATGATTTTAACATTGTACCACTGTGGAGAGTGCACAGCCACATCCAAACTAGGACTGCAAGATTTTCACAATATTGAGACCTATGTTCTTCTTGCAGTTTAACAGTTAATGTATCTTAAATAAAATGTTGCCACACATCCTTACCGAGGTTATAGGCAGGCAACAACGCTATCATGAATAATTAATTGTTGAAATATTTTAAATTTGTATCTAGATGTGATTCTGTCTAATATTGAGCCAATACAAGGAAATATTTTTTAGTAGATACATTGCATAAAACTTCAGTGGACAGTGCATTTAAACCCCAAAATCTTCTCAGATTTCTAGAATATCTATTGTTACTTTTTGTTCAGTACAACCTATGTACAATTACCAAACAGTGTCTATTAATAGCCTTGAATTTCTGTGCCAAGGGTGAAGGTCCTGAAGGTTGCAGTACCCTCCATTTCACTGACTGCTCTTAAAGTCCAATGTCAGTGACTAGCTGTACTTTGGTCTCTCTGCGCAGCGATAATAGGCGAGCGACCTGCTATCAGACTGATAAGGAGTCCACTTAAGTGTTTACAATGTGGGCATGGTACAAGCTCTGCTCCCATGGTTAGCTCTCCAAACGAATGAAGAGATAGAGCCAGGACAGCCCCATCAGCCCATGTCCCCTCTGCAGTACCACCATGCACAGCCCCACTGGTCAGCACTCACACCACATGATGGACTGCTTACACATTAACCCAAAGCTCCCTCAAACACGCCAAACTAAATATGTGATAGAACCTGATGCTAGGAGTCACATGTTTTGGATGTGGAAGGTAGGGTTACATTGTTTTTCGTTCGTTTTTGTTAGTGATAGTACATGATGTTCATCCAGTGTTGTTTCCAATATCAGTAGTGTGTTTGATTATAAGCTTCAACTTGGTGTAGTACTACTTGTTTTTATGGTGCTTTGTTCCACGCCTTGTTGCGGGGCAAGTCTGTGCACCTGTGTGTTCCCGGCACATAGCCAGCTTGTCTGGGTTCAGGGCAGTGTTTACTGTCAACACTATTTTGATTGATATGGAAGTGGCAGTAATTAGTCATAGGGGCTGTAGTGTAAGGAAGTGGAAATGGGTAAGCATGCATATTTTAATGAGTTTAAAGGTGCACTGTGTAACATTTTTCAAGTTTTCTTTTTACTTCTCTCCTCCAAGATGTAATTGTTTTGTCTGGAATGTTTCACAGTATGGCATTAAACTTATCTACCTCCGTGAAGACAAACAGGTACAAAACTATAAAAACAACTGTAGTTGAATGAATAAAAGATCAGATTCAGTCTGATATTTTATTCATTCAACTACAGTGTACAGTTGTTACATTTGAAGCAAAGGAAATAACTTCTTCATAAAGAAAAGACTGTCTCAACCATTGGCCAGAAAAGTTACATACTGCACCTTTAAGTACATTTTGATAAATGAATATTAAAATCAGAATCTGCCAAACTGTATGAAGAAGGTTCTAATGTTGTGGTAGTTTGGGTGTTTGTTGCATATATTTTCAACAACCCACATATGGCACATACATATAAACATACAAACACTTGCTTTTGTAACATTATGTTGATTATATATTTGTAATTTTTTCACTCAAAACACATGTATGGAGGATTTTGTGAGCTGGATAATGTGATTATGACACAGATCCATGCACTACTTAAGGACACAACCTTGTGAGTATATAGGTCCTACCAGTGTTGTGCTTGGTCTATGCGCTCTGCTAGTTTTGTGGAGGTGATTTGATGCACGTTTTGAACATGATCTCAGCTGCTTGTGCACATCCTCACAGTGGTGTGTTCCCCTGGTTGCTCAGAAGAAGCATCCTCTGTGCAAGGGCAGACAGAGGCCTGGGACAGAAGCCTCTGATAGTCCCTGCACCCTGCCTGTCCCATCACCCTGCCTGTCTAAAATGGGTCTTGACTCAGGATGGGGTAATGTTGGGGGTGGGTAACCCTGCTTAGAGACAGTAGACTGTAGATCCATGGGATAGTATGGATTATTTATGCCAGCCTCACTCACATGCAGGATTTGATCCCTAATGCTACAGGCCTAATACACATTTAACCTATTTTTCATGCTGACTATCAGGGTCTATTGATGTGCACAGGAAGGATCCAGTGCTAAGTTGTGGTGGCCATCTTCTGCTTGTTACCCTTTGCTGCTTATTTTAGCCCATGATCAATGCATCAGCATTGGCCTGACATCACCATGGCGACCCCAGGGCTCCTTTTGTCTGTGCCGTTCCCCTCTGGTCCCTCTGGTTTCCCCGCTCCGTGAGCACACAGCCAGTATGACCCTGCTCATCCTGCCTGAGGAGCGGCTGAGCGCTCACAGACCTGAGACAAAGGCTGTTACCATGAGACTGCTGTGCTCCTCATTGTTCTCTAGGACCAGCTCATAATGAATGTGGCCACATTCCTGTCTCCTCTGCCCGTCTCTGTCCTGTCCACCTAAAAAGCAGGGCTGAGCAGCTCTGTGGTAGGAACTGCTTGACAACAACAGGTTCAGAGGCAGGGTCAAAGGGTCACTAAGGACTGGGGCCATGTATGTTATATACATACACAAATCATACATGTGTGCATGTGGGACTGTGTTGACACAAGACCTTTGGTTTATGGAGATTCACGAGGTCAGCAGGACATTCGGCTCATGGAAAAGAGTAAGGGGACAGTCACACTGAGGCTTCAGCTTCCATTCATTTGCTGTGTGCTCTGACAGAGGGAAGTGACAAGATGCAATGCAAGCAATATGCATTCTGAATCAAACTAAAACCAGCTTTATGCAAATGCTGAGATGTCAGCATGCCAACGCTCTCACTTATCCCACAGCCAGCAGCCAATTACACGGTGAGGGTCAAGTTAAGGTTAAGGTAAAGGTGGTAATGTGTACAGGTGCACAAGTGCTGGAACATGTGGTTCCCAAATCCCACTCCCTCTTACCCCTTTGGTCCTGTGTCCACTCCCCCATGGCGCCTGCTTGGTTTGATGTCATTAGAGGGGCCTGATGGAAAGAGCTTAAGGGAGATTGACCCAGTTTACATGTGTGTGCCCAAAGTTTAAACATGCATTGTAAGCTCCATTAGCCAAGCATAATTAATATAGTATATCAGTGTACATTTGCCCTCTGTTCTTTAGCATTTCAGCAAGTAATGTCCTCTCAGCTCACATCAGGAGGACCGTCCCATAGCGGTGCTCTGTAAGCCAGCCTAGTGACCTAAATTCCAGGGTCTCTGCTGTGCCCCTCTTTCTCTGGGCAGCTCCAGGACAGGCACCAGAGTAGAGTTACTGGGAACAGGATTGGCTTGCCTGGAGGTGTGCAGCCGCCGTGTTATGTTATTAGATATGTCCAGGCCTCCACTGCTCCCTGAATTTTTCACTGTGTCAATTTGTGTATTATGTAACAGAGCTCTCTCTTGTGATATTCTCTATTTTGTAATGCCAGTTCTGTCAGCCAGGCCACCAACCCCCAACTCAACTCACACAAAAGAACATCTCGTCCTACTCTCTGTTTATCATCTTTATATAAACCAAATAAAGTTATATATATCATAAATATATACAGAATTTTCACTATAGGTTTATTTGTCAACTAGTCACACAATTACTTTTTTTATGCATTTGTAACCAAATGAAGGTTTAAATATGTGACTAAAAACGTATAGTATATAGAATGTTTACAAATTCTCAATTCTGATTTAATAATGCTGCCTTCTATGATAAAATATATTCTGAAGTGTGTTTGCACAGACTGTTTACTTCAGATGTTTACTTATTTACTGTAAACATCTGAACTAAACAGACTGTATTGTTATAATTGCAATATTATTGCAATTATTTTATTTGTCAATTAGTCATGATTATTTGGATTCATTTTTGCAGGTATAATCTTCACCATGGTAACAGTAACTGTCTGGAGTGTTAATAGAAGCAGGAATTTAAATTACTTATTGAAGTATTTATTCTACCTGTTGAACATTATTCTTGGTTATTTTGATCACATTAGATTTGACATTAAAGCTTTACAACATTCCATTATTACCTCAAATTAACATCTATGGTACTCTTTCTTGCTCTCCTTCAGTCTGATGAGTAACCTCTGCGGCCGCCCGAAGCTCCGTGATGGTCGACATGGAGACCCCATACCGGCCGCCGTCCCCGCTGGAGGAGCCTGTTCTGGGGGACTCGGGGCTGGGCAGTCCCCTGTGTGCTGACGAGGACTTCATGGGCGGGATGGAGGAGTTGCAGGACATCTCCCAGTCCATAGACAATGACACGCTGAGCTCATTCGATGTCCCAGAGTATCAGTCCTCCAGCAACGGCTCCGAGGGCTCCACTGTCCTCGGTAAAGCTGAATGATTTGACAATGACAATTTTTTATGTATTTGGGGTCCACAGTTAGTACAACCACAGATGGTACTCAGACATATGCACACTATTAACCATGTTATAATGTTTTTCCTCTTCATTAGCTTAGTTGCATTTTGAATAGGTACTCAAAAATTACTAAATCAGGTACTGGTTCACCCAGTGAATGTATGTAAAACTATTAACTGACTGATTTTGTCCCAGAACGTCTCATAATATTTGAACTTGTAGTAACACAAATTTGATCTGTAGTTTAGAGCCGAGATAGAGCAGCAGTATGTAGAAAATCAGTTCTGCTGTTTTTGAACAGGAAGTAAATGGCACTGTTTCTATTATTAATGAGATATTATGTAAAATTCCTTTGTTAATATCTTTCTACCATGTTATAACACTGTTCTCTAATCAGAAACATGCCTGAGGAGGTTTTAGATCTCATCCATGCCTGTTTGAGTATTTCGCTGATCTCTCTCATGTGCTATTCGAACCTTCCTTGTGGTCAGCTATAAGATTTTGTCCAGTGCTCAGCCCACAAACGTAGGTCGCCCATGTGATCATAAATTCTCCATTAAACATGATACAACTATACTTAGCAACTTGACAAACCTAATGTGATGCCTGCAGTAGTTTCATTAGTGACATGCATGCTAATTGTGTGATAGCGCTCTGAAAGGGAAGTGACTTAATGCAGGGAGCAAAGGAAGCAGAGACTCAGACCATCAAAAACGAGAGTGAAACTTAGGTCTTTGCTAAAAACAAACCAAAACTGTACCAACTTGTAAATCGTGCGTGAGTGAATGAATGATTATGTATAATTGCACTGGTGTATGTATATAGATGAATACTGTTCTTATGTATTTTGGATTGTATTATGTATTTTAGTGTAGAAAAGATCAACCAGGGCCAGTTGTTGTCCCTGCAAAATAATTAAATGAACTGACTTATAAAATATGTTGTTTTTGGCGAATATAGCATTTTCAAAACAATAAAAGATAACATGGTGATCTAAATATGTTATGTGCTAGCAGTAAAAGGATGGGCTATCATTTGCAAATGTAATACAAAGTACAAGCAGTACAAATCAGAGTCCATCCATTCAACGTTTAAACGCATGTTTGAGGAAAATATTGCACATTGTGTACTTATCCTACTTATCCCCTGTACATTTCTACAGAAAACCTAGCTGTATTACATAATAATATACAATATAATATAAACGTGTGGCTTATGTAAGTACTGTCCCAAGTGCGTCTGTCCTAAACTCAACAGTTGGTTCCACATTTAGTTTGGAATCCTCACATTCCCGAGGCACCAGGCAGCAACTCTCCGGAAACATCCACTTTTCCCCTGTTTCCTTCTGCATACACATAAGTGTCTGGAAAATTGATGTCCCCACTACAAAATTATGCAATAGGCTGAGGATAGCTGCGAACCCACTTTATTAATCTAAAGAAAAGGCTGTATTGAGCTGGAGGGAGAGAGGGGAGGAAAGAAATGGTGCAGGCTGCCGTCATGGAAAACATCTGATGACATCACAGAAGAGGGTGCAAGGATTTATGGGTGTTTATGTGGAGAGGCTGCATACAGAACAGGGGCAGGCCTTATACTGTTGAAAAGTACCCCTGTGTGTCCAAATAGTTTTTATCCCAGATCTGGCATTACCTTCTTTCCATTCATGTGACTTAAGGCTGCTGTTTGGTGCTACTTTATCCAGTCTATTTGTGTCCCTGCATGTTCCCTGCACAAAGTAGACCCCCAGTGAACCCTGTGACCTGTCATCTGTGCCCTGGATCAGTAATACAACTCCAGTGATGTCTATGTGACTGGCTGCAGATGTGTACTCAGATCTGTAATAAATACTTTACCTACTATGGAGGAACAAACTGTCTTTGTCAGAATAAGGTCAGAGTTGAGGCAAAGTGAATATGGGGTGAAGGTCTTGTAAGGTCTTAGATTGTGAAGGGTATCCAGGTGTATTACATTGTTCTGAAACATGGAGGATAGAGTCTCCTCCAGCCAGGTACTCCTTATCAAGACCTCCAAATTTGACCATTTGTTATGTTTAAAATTTTACTTTTTGTTACAAAATCACACTAGGGAATCATAACTGTAGTGCACAGAAATTATTATCTGACAGACACAAATATAAGAAAAACATTTTATTATATAATGCTCTACATGAGAATATCTACATTTTTGACTTGCCTCATAATGTTAAAAATAACCATTAGGTATGCATTTTATATTGACAATAAAATTCTGTTACAATATTTTCTCTCAAATATTGCTAATATTAATGCACTGAAATCTTTGAGAAACATGTGAACAGACTTGCACCTCACCAAATCTGACCTTTATTTGACTGGATAAGGGCCTTCTCCTTTTTCTGTGGAAATGTTCGTTTTGGTTCCCTTCCAAAGTATAGTTTTAAATTTCTATTATCATGGAATCATACAGGGGATGTGCCACCTCCAGAACATTACATACTATATCTTTAAATACAATAAAAACAAAACAAAAAAATTTTAACATGTGTTTTTTTTCTTGTAATATATAGGGACTATCAATTACAAAGTACTGTACATTTTTAGACTGGTTTGTGTATTGACCTGATAACTACTACTGTTCAAGTCCCACAATTGATTATAAGTTGTTACCCTGTGTGTCCCTTAGATGCCCTGACACCTGCCTCCAGCCCCTCGTCAGTGTTGGGGATGGTCTCTGGTCCAGACGACTTCACTTCCACCTCAGGACTCAATCTGGAGTGTCGGGTTTGTGCTGACCGCGCTTCAGGGTATCACTACGGCGTCCACGCGTGTGAGGGCTGCAAGGTGAGCATCTCAGTGACGGCTCTGTCCACAGCAGATTAGACCCCATACGTGTTGGTGTAAACTGATTTCAGAGTTAGGTCATGCTCATGTGATAATTGCTTAGTTATCAAATTCAACCATGGGTACGAATAAGGACACCTTAACCTTATGCTATGTAGGCTATATGCAGCTTCCTCTGTAAAATGACTCTCAAAATGTGGAAAATGTATTGGCAATAAACTGACATTTGCTGGTGCTACTCATATTTCTTTTTGGCTTTTTAAAGGTTGTGATATTGAATCTGGGTTTATTTAAAGGTGCACTATGATGGAGGGTCTGTCACCTGTGTTTTCCACCAGGGCAAGTTACAGATCAGATCAATGGCAAGCCCACTCGCAGTACGAAGAGTACTTAAATGTATATATAAGGAATTAAAACCTGTAATTGAATAAATGCTAGATAGTTAAGTTTATTGCCAAATTGTTGAAAATTGCAGGCAAAATAATAACATCTCCATGCGACGAAGCAAGTGAAGGACCCTTCACCAGAAATGTTACAATGCACCTTTAAAATATACATGTGAAGCCACATGTTTTCTGATCTGTTAAATGCTGTGAAAAGCTGACACTTTCATGTAATTACTAACGGAGGGACTATAGTAGTAGTAGCAGTAGTGGTAGTAGTTACAGTTGTTGTAGTGGAAATCCAGGGGCACTGTGGCTTGTGACCAAAGAAAAGTGACACAAACATATAATCCTTTGAGTTAACCGTTGACCAAGCAGTCCAATGGTAAAAGCCACTAAAGGACAAATATGTCATTTGAGGAGAATGGGGATTGCAGTCCTAAGATCCTTCTTCAACCAAATGGTTTTTATGTCTTCTATGTCTTTTTTTAACTATTCTGCCTATTAATTGCTAAATTGCAAATATTATTGTTAGCCAGCTTTGTTACTCTTTGATGACTTCTTTGTGTATGTGTATGTGTAATGTAAATTTGAGGTGAAATGGGGTTTTTGACTTGTGAGGTGAAGTTGTAAAATTGTGAGGCAATATTACTACGGTTCATAAGTAATAAAGAGCTTATAGTTAAGACTTAAACAGACACTGCCATAAATCATACTCAAGGCTGCTACAAGGTTCAGAGTCCTCTCTTATCCTGCTGTTATGTGGTTGTTTATGTCTATTGATTTATATTATTTAATGCTTTAAAATCACAAAGGGCTGCTATCAAGTCACTTATTTTTCTCTTGTGATTTGACACTGGAGCTCGTATCAGTGGTCAGTCTTGTCGAGTTTGTATTTTATCATGTAATCTTGCGTCATTTTAAAACAAATGTGTGAAGTGTTCCCACGATTTAACAATAATATCATAATTTGGATATTTAATCTTTTCTGAGGTCACACAATACTACAGCACACCAAGTTATGTGTTTTTGTATTATTAAACTTTCATCACTTTTGAAAAGATTATTATTTGACCCATCCTACAACCAGGGTAATGTTTCAGGAACAGTGGGGGGTCTGCCACCTGCTTGTCTCCATGGAGATATTATTGCTTTACCTACAGTGTTCTGCAGTGTGGTATTAAACCTATCTTGCATATATACAGTTGTTATTGTGAGTCGGCTCGGCTCTCCACAGAAATGGCCTAGAGCTTGTTGGTGTCACCTGCATGAATATGTATATGCTAAATGCTTTACTGTGTAACATTCAAGACAAGACGCTAAAATCTCCATGGAGACTAGCAGGGCCAGACCCTCTACCAGAAAAGTTACATAGTGCACCTTTAAATCTGTTGACCAGGAAATATATGGCTGTTGGAGTGGAAAACCTTATTGTAATTACTTAAATATTGGAAAATGCCAGTGTATCATTTTGGATTTGTTTTTCCCAGGGATTCTTTCGGAGAACGATCAGGCTGAAGTTGGAGTACGACAAGTGTGAGCGCCGGTGTAAGATTCAAAAGAAGAACCGCAACAAGTGCCAATACTGCCGCTTCCAGAAGTGCCTGTCTGTGGGCATGTCCCACAATGGTGAGTGTGGCAAGTTCACACACAATCAAACAGGTTAGGTTCCCATGCAGTTAACTTAAATCCTAACTTATTTTAACCCATATCTGAACTTTTAATAGTGTTGTTGATGTCCTCACAGAGCTGAGGACTGGCTCAGGTTACACAGGGTTTGTCTAACAGTACTTAAGTGGACAGGTACCAGTCAGGTATACACTTCATTTAACACAAATAAGCAATCCTACTCCAGTACAAGGTTTTGGTTACATGTTAGAACACAATTGTGGGTTAATGTTTGGTTTTACTCATACACATGTTTTTTTCTGTTTATCTGATTTACCTTGGTACGATTTTGCTTGTAAATTACTACAACTGTCTACTCATTTCAACAAATTCCCCTCCACATGTTTCAGTTCAGCAGATGTATTTCACACTGCTCTTGTGTTCAAGTGTAGTGTTGAGTAACCTCTATAACAGTATGACATGTTTATGGTTATATATGCCTTGTAAACCAAGCACATAGCCACAGTGAACTAAAGCAGTATTAGTCCATTATTGATTTAATGTTCCAGTTTCCAGTTGAAACATCTCTTCTCAGTGTAACGTGTATTTTCACAACAGTGTCCTACAACTCCGATGCAGTAGTATTTTACTCGGCTCCACTTCCTCTTATTGTACATGTGTGTCAGATTTCATTGGTCTAAGTGTAACTAAAGAAGGGGAGGAAAGAAATGGGAGAAGTTAGTGCAACTGGATCCTTTAAGTTAGTGGACTTACTGACAACAGAACCACAGCTGTGCTATGTTTGGCCCATTCCTACTTTTATATTGATTACCTATTGATTTCTCGCCACTGAACCTGACATTTAATAATTGAAGAGTAGTTTGTTTATTTTCGGTACCACCGTAGGACATGCATTCAGGGTTGCAGTTCATTCAGCTGCAGTCTCCAGTCTAGACTCATCCTTCTATGTGGTGCTTTACCAAATGGACTTATGCACAGCTTAACATCACTCACTTCATCACTTCTTAATTAGACTTGGCTCCTGTTCAGCCGCCTGCTGCAGGCTTTACCAGCTTTAGATGATCCATCCACTTGTGAGCAGTAATCTAATGGGCTTCAGCCTGTCTGTTATCCCAGCAGGCCCTCACTCTCCAGGCAAAGACAGGCTTCTCATTGCAAAGAGTCTACTCTGTATGTGCATACACGTGTACACTCAGGTACACATGAGTAAAGTGTCTATAATATGCATGAATACTATGTATCAGTGTGTGGCTAAAGCAGCATGTGGTTGTTTAAACTGATAAAGAGGTTAAAAACAGTTCACATCTAATCTCATTAGGTAAATGGGATCAAGGCGTCTGCCATTGCTCTCGTGGAAAACAACTGTTGTTCAGAACAAATGTACGTTCATATGTTGCCATAACATTAAAACTACCTTTTTTATTCTACCTTCTTGGGGCTCAGCTTGTCAAGTACAATATCAACCAAAGCCAATATAGTTTCAGTTACCTGAAATGAACTTGAAGTCTGGGCTTGTTTTATATGCATTCACTGCCAATGTGAATTCTCATCCATCTGGCAGTGACCTAAAACCCATTTTTTAGTGAGGTTCTGCTGACTTCAGCAAAATACTTCTTTATTGGAGAATTACTTAAAAGTTAAACAGTCATTTGGGTTGTCTAGAGTTGTAGGTGTAGAATCATTTATACCAAGAGTTCAATCTTTATCATATATTGGGCAGTTCATAATGATGCTAAAACTAATCTGAATGTCTGTTGTCCATGTGTCCCCAGCGATCCGCTTTGGTCGGATGCCGCAGTCGGAGAAGCTGAAGCTGAAAGCGGAGATGGGGACTGGGGACAGGGAGGTGGAGAACCCTCAGGTGGCTGACCAGAAAAGCCTGGCTCGGCAAATCTACGACGCGTATGTGAAAAATTTCAACATGAACAAGGCCAAGGCCCGGACTATCCTCACAGGAAAAACCAGCACTCCTGTACGTCACCATTCTCAATCTTATTACATGTAGAAATGTCGCTTAAGCCTAATAAAACAGGAGCAAGGCTTCATAGGTTATGTTTAGCCTGCTAGTGACAGAAATACCTTGCTCAATCAGTAGTTACCACACAGGCCCAACAAGGGAATGTCTGTCTGATCCAAAATAGCATAAAGAACCAGTGTATGAGCTATGAGGCCATATTCACCAATGACTTCTCCCTCTAAGCCTTCAAACCCATCAAATAGTACTGTCTTTGAATCACAACTCACATAACTCTTTCCATTTTCCTCAAAATGGTTGATATTTTTTGGTTCATTGAATGCCATCCAGACCAAATTCCATGGATAGCTGTGTGTAGGTGTAAAATGGGTCAAAAGGGCTAGGTCAGTGAAACAACTCCTCTGTGTTCAAACATAGACCTATTGTGTAGTCACTGAAGTTACATTTATTTCATAAGTGAGAGGCATTAAAGATCTTAATTTTGAATATTTTGAATTAGGTATGTATGCCATTTTATTCAATTTTTCAATTATCATTTTAGGTATATTTAAATAATTTCTTTTATAGGTATTTAAAGTAGCTGTGCCCATTGTTTTCTGTGTAACTGACCATCATCAATCATTTTAACAGTATAGATATATTGTATAAGCAGCCCTTAAGGTAAAAATGAGACTGCTGAGAGCATCTCAGTCTGCATCTCAGTATAAAGCATTTTATCTCTCAGAATCATGAAGTGCACAGTTACCATGCCAGTTTTTGTTAGCTCTGAAAGTTGTGAAACATGCTTATAAAACTAACCTTGATGAATAATTAGGATGTTAGAAATTCAGAAGGTACGTGAGGAATCCGAATAGTTCAAGACCTCTGCAAATGATTAAAATAAACTTTGTAAGTGTTTTTTTCACATTTTGAAGACAGTAAAAATCATGTACAGTGACTTTAATTACATATACTGACGGGTGGTTTGGAGCCTTAAAGTAAGCTTGTGGGTTTGATCCCAAAATCTGTCTCGAGTCAATATCTGGCTGCATCAAACTCACATTTACGGTACAGATGTATTGCATTGTTGAAGTAATAACAAGGCGGCTTGCTGTGATGACAAAAGGGAAAACTATGTGTAACTGTGTCTAATCTCCAGCTGTTTTGTCATCAGGCTTAATGGACCGTGCTGTTTCTGATTCAGCAGAATAGTCATAAATCGGTCTTTAGGAGATGCAGATGGTGTTTTAAATTGTGTATTTCATTCATTTATGTTGCAAGCATATGCCCAATAGGATAATGTAAATAAATGTACTACTAGTGTATGTATTGTTCAGTATATGTTTACCAAGTATTCAAAAATGCTCTTTTGTCACTACAATGTAACCCCTTAGTAGTAACCATGAGTCAGAGATTTTATGTGACATCAGCAGGTGAAGTTGTGACACAGCTAAAGAACTTTTCACCAATAACTTTTTGCCCAGTCAAATTACAGCATTTGAATCTGCATTGATTGGATTTGTCTGTTATTCTTATTATCCTATTCTAATTATCTAATTATAAGTGATTAGAAGCTGTCACAGTTCGGTCATTATATAAATACAGGAGAAACAATAAGGGCTGCAGGCTCCTTTTTGCAGAACTCATGTAAACAGCACGTGTCGACATCTTAAGAGGGCTGCTGCCTCAGATCTTTATTTACACAAACAGTCAAATAAGGTTATGGTATATCACATGGCCTATAAGCATAATGTGTGCATAATGATGGCTTATACTGCCTTGAATGTGCAAATTGTATATTACAGTTAAGTATTTAAAAAGTATTTTCATGTAATATTTTTATCATATTCTTGACAAAATTTGTTAAAGGGCATGTGACAAGGTTATAATATGTAATTATGCTAATAATTTCAATCAAAATATAAAAAGTGGTCTTGTCTTTGATGCAGTATAAGGCAGGGGAACTGATCTAAATGTTGCTCTATATTTTATGTTATGTAGAGAAAAAAATGCTAGGCTGTAATTAACAGTAGATATGGAATAAAAGGTAATATGTCAGAAATTATTTAAGCCATGAAATTGATTGAAGCAAAAGAAATCTGGCTAGACTCAAAGAACAAAATGTTTCTAGAAAACTATAAACAATAAATGTTATCAGTGGAGCTGAAGGCCTAATCTAACTAACCCTAACTTGCCTCTGCATCAAACCATGCGATGGTTGTATTTTTCATGCTTCTAAAATGTCTCATGTCTTTTCAGCCTTTTGTTATCCATGACATGGAGACACTGCAGTTGGCCGAGCAGACTTTCGTGGCTAAAATGTTGGGCTCTGCAGAAATGTTAAAGGACCGAGAAGCGGAGGTGCGGATTTTCCACTGCTGCCAATGCACCTCCGTGGAAACCGTCACTGAACTCACAGAATTTGCTAAATCAGTTCCTGGTTTCTCCAACTTAGACCTCAACGACCAGGTGACTCTTTTGAAATATGGTGTGTACGAGGCCATGTTTGCCATGTTGGCTTCATGCATGAACAAGGACGGTCTGCTGGTGGCCTATGGCTCTGGCTTCATCACTAGGGAGTTCCTCAAAAGTCTGCGGAGACCCTTCAGTGAAATGATGGAGCCCAAGTTCCAGTTTGCGATGAAGTTCAACTCACTGGAGCTAGATGACAGTGACATCGCTCTGTTTGTGGCTGCTATCATCTGCTGTGGAGGTAAGAAAAACAACTTTGAAAGTAGATTTTTCTAAATTACAAAATGGCATAAAGGCCAGTATTCTCAAAAGGAAATTAACCAAGGGATTAAAAATGTAACGTTGGTTGCTGAAGGTACACTTTGTAAAACAGTAACTCTTTATTGGCTGGTAGCTCTTAAACCCCACTGGCCACATTGCTAGTATTTGCATGCATGTAAGTTTGGTGCATATGCAGTTTAAGGAGAGCTTTTTTACATGGCAAAGTAAAGCAGGGTGAAATGACTAAGATTCTTTGTTTTTACTGTTAGACCGGCCAGGCCTGGTGAACGTGGCCCACATTGAGCGCATGCAGGAGAGGATCGTGAGAGTCCTGCAGCTCCACCTACTGGCCAATCACCCAGACGACAGCTTCCTGTTCCCCAAACTGCTGCAGAAACTGGCTGACCTGCGGCAGCTGGTCACTGAACATGCTCAGTTAATACAGGAGATCAAAAAGACTGAGGACACATCTTTGCACCCACTTCTACAGGAGATATACAGAGACATGTACTGACCAGAGTGGAGGAGGAGAGACAGAGACATTATGGAAAAGAAGATGAATCTCCTTAAGCTTCAGCTGAACCACTTGAACCCAAAAGCTTCAAGAGGGGTGTGGGAGCTAGCCCTGCTCAATCTCTCACTCCAGAGGGCGTTGTGGCACATCAATCATGTAGAGGCCACGTACAGCAGAACCAGTCCAGCATCTCCTATTTATGCAATGTTTAATGACTGAGGTGATGATAGAGTTATTCATGTTTAAAATGGTACACTGACACTAGACCAGCCGCTTATGTGAAAGTTGATGTCAAAGAGCCATGCTGTAGCTGAATTAGGGTTGTCAAAAATCAGATACTAATCATTACTAAAACTAGTATCGAAACTAAATGCTCATTTAAGCAAGTATCAGTACTGAAAAAATAATCACATAACTGGATTAAATTTGACTGTTTCATCTTGAGTTTTATCAGAACTAGTATAAGACCACATGGTATAATAACCAAATATTATTATAGTGTGTTGGAAAGTATTATATTAAGTAAAAAATAGCTTTCAAAATTATCATTTGGGTATCAAAATTAGTATTGAGTCTATTCTTTAGTATCGAAATGAAGCTAGAAATGTTAGCATCGTGACAACACTAAGCTGAATACAATATATTTACACAATACAACACCCAAGTGACTTTAGTAACAATAACAGCAAGTACACAGCAACTATAAGGCAGCTCTTTCTGCATTGACTTAATAATGATCCAGCATTGTCCTGTTTTAAAGATGCACTTTGTAACTTTTCTACTGGAGGATCTGTCACTTGCTTATCTCCATGGAGTGTTTATTATTATCTCTAAATTGTTCCACAGTATTGCATTAAACTAATCAGTCTCCATGGAGTTGAGCAGGTGACACCATTGGGCCAAATTACAGGTTATGGAGAGAGGAGGAGAGAGTTTTTTTTAGCCTGTAACAGCTGCAATTGAATAAATACAAGATAAATAAGTTTAATGCTATATTGCGGAACATTACTGGCAAAATAATAACTTTGCCATGGAGACAAGCACATAGAAAGCCCTCACTAGAAAAATTACATGGTGCACCTTTTAAGGCAAACTCATGTGGCATTACCAGATATTTTTGTGGTTTTAAATGAGGTTTTGTGAAATTCTGCTACAATATACATGAAGACATAATTGGGTTACTTTTATAATTTTAAGATTTAAGTCTCAATTTGAAGTAGCAGATGTATTTAAGGGAACTTGAAACTACGACTGAAATGAGAGTCACTGTGTAATAAGCACCACAATGCACACACAATGCACTAACAGCCTGTGACCTGAAGAACTTGGGTAATGCCTTTTTCACCAAACGTTTGCACAGATATTGGCACTCCATCAGTTCAGTGTCCTGGTATCCAAGGGCTACAAGAGATACAGTCAGTGCATCTTCTGTTATAATCCTTTCTTCTCTATCTATTTTGGTAAGATTTACTTCTCATTTATTCTCTTATGTTCCTGAGTGCAGTATCTAAGTACATATTTAAAGATATAGAAATGAGATTACACATCTTGCAGTTGATGGTACATAAGGTATCTGTTTATAATATTGTTCTACATTAAAAGGCAGCTTACATGCTTGTTCATGCTGCCTTTAATTATCAATTATTGACCTACTTATTTGATCATGAAAAAGAGGTTAGAGTGCATGTCTGGATCATATATTCAAACTGTATGAAAAACAAAACACTCTTAAACTGGTTAGCAGAGTTACATTTTTACAAATAATGTATGGTATATAGCCAATACCATCATCTTTTACTGCTGGCCCTATTGATACTTTGCGGTGACATCATTCTGGTAGTGTTCAACATGTATGTGTATTGGCAGAACGTTCACCGGTTACCATGAAAACACAAAGCACACACAAATACTACCGAAAAACATTTTAGATCATCTGAAAAAAATACAAAATACAAAATACAAAATGGATTTAAACAGCATATTTTCAGGACCATGTGATCAATAAGAGTGCTCATTAAATAAAAGGAGAAAATGTATTTTATGGTCAGATTGTGTGAAAATAAAGCTCAGAATAAAGTCTATCTTGAGTAACAGAGCTTCAGATTAACCTTCCATTAGCATCACACCCCCAAGGAATGTTGATGACATCAGCTGCAAAGTATCAATAGCCAATAACATCATCGTATACTGCTGGCCCTTTAGGAGGGACTAATAATGACGATCCATTTGTAAAATAGTGACATACCTTTCTGAAATTGTAAATGTAGGTCTGTATTGTAACTTCTGTAACAGATAATTGTGTCTGAATTGACTCAATTGATGATATTTTTATACTAAAGTCTATATAATGTGTATGACTAAATCAGATAAATGTTTATTTGAAATGGCACTATTGGTGGAGTAAATGCAGTGTAAATACATGGGATGGGGGTCAAATCCAGATATCTGAATCCCATCTGGGACATTCCTTTTTGGTAATTACTTTTTAAATGTGTGGCTGGTTCAAGCTAGAGTGGATTAATTGTTGTTGTTTTTTTTCTTTTTCGTTTTTTTTTTAGTAAACAGTTTGGTTTAGCTAACAGAATTTCTCATGCTTACGATCAACAAATCTGCACTGAATTAACAATTGCCTCTTCTATTTAAGCTCTCAGGTTTTGCATTATGAATTTGGGCTCACAATGCCTATATATTAGTCTCTTGCCTGTTTAACTTTAAATCATTTGCCATCAATTCACATGCAGTATTAAGCAATAGACATGCAGTTTTCTGAATGCAGTACATGTTCCTCTAATAACACTATTTTGTATCACTTTTGTATTTTTCCTTCTCCTCACTTGCTGCTATTATTGTAACTAACTCATCCTGCATTGCCATAAGTACATTTTTGACCGTCAAGCTGCCTGTTAACCACATCTTGTCTTGTACCGAATGTCTCAATATTCAGTTTCATTAACTTCAACTTATTTTTCCTATTTGCGGATTCCTGGGAATATTGGGTAGGAATTTTGCTTTTAGGGAATAAACACAAAACTCTCTGTGCCTTAGCGTGTACCCTGCCACAAAACATTATTTAAATTGATAGAAAGCTTGACTTTAATTGTACTCACAACACATTGTAACAGACTTAATGATATGGGATAACCTTACAACTGATGACAAAAGAGGCTTATTAATATACTGTTGGAATGAGATACAAGAAGTTTTCATTTTGGTCAAGCCCAAAAGAGAAAAGTAAAGTGTATGTCTGGTTATTCTTAGCATTGTCTACTTTGTATTGAATTGATAAGGGAATTTCTAACAAGTATCAGGGAAACCTAGCCTCCTTTGTTGTACTAGCTCAGGATGTAGAAAAGTACTTAAGTCCTTTTCTCTCAATGTTTTGTTTATTAATTTTTTCCTGTGCTCTGCCTTACATCACAAAGCTCCAATGACAGTATGAATTAATATTTTTGATTTTACAATACTGACAGAAACTTTGCCTCTGTTTTTTTCAGGCAGCAGTCATAGGAATTAGATATTTGATTTAAAATTTTAGTTTGATGGAGTTTGTTTTGTGACCTAGTGTCATGTCAAGAGTCTTTGGATGTGCTGTTCCTGTGTATTGTGACTTGATAACAATACTGTAAATGTGTGATGAATGTAAATCTAGTCATTTTGAAATGAATTTAATGATTCACAATGGATTTAAAAATAAATCGTTTTAAAATTCATAATATGTGTTTTCAAATTATACAGGTTCTGTTCAAGGGTCATACAATTCTTATTCTGTTAAGTACTGTATATGTTGCCATCTAGTGGTTGTGCGATATTAGGCTAGATCTGTCGAAAACAAACAAAACAAAAAATAAATAAATAAATAAAGGAAGAAAGAAAAGAAAAGGAAAGACTTTGCTCCATGCATTTATATTTGAACTATACTATAAGTATATCATCATTTTATATTTTGTCATAAACTGAAACATTGATATTAATAGAAATGGTAACTTTTGATAAATTTGTATTTTTGAAAAATGGCTACATTACTTTGCATTTCTTTTATTATTATTATTATTATTATTATTTTAAATTTTAACCCTTATCACTTACCTTACATGAGTCTTACAATTTTCAATAAATAAATTTGCCACTAAGTAGACATAGGGAGATGTGGGCAGGGATAGCAGGCAGTTGAAAACTTTTTCTGAGCACTTAATAAATAAATAAATAAATAAAAGAGAGAGAGAGATAATACAAGATCCATGAACACGTTACATGGTTAATGATTTTTATTTGTTTTTTTTTTTTGTTTTTTTCTCAGAATAAATGTTTGTATCTTCTAATAAAGGTTAAGCCATTATAAAACTGTATCGGCTCCCCTGCACTAGAGGGCGCTCTTGTGCTCATACACCTCTTTCATACTTCTTCTGTCTCTATCACATTGTCCAACATGGCGGCGTCCATAGGGCGGACCTGTGCTTATGCATCGTCAACTGGTTTTAGTATTTTCCCCAAACGATTCCGTCTTTTTCTCACTCTCAGAACCAAACTGCACTGTTCCGCACCTGTCTGCAGCGGTCTGTTATTCAACCTCAGCAAACGCGGACTAATCAAAGACTCTTTCCCGGAGCACGCAGCTCAGAACACGCTCCCCGAGCTCCTCCAGTCCGGAACACAGACCGTGTACTGCGGCTTCGACCCCACCGCGGACAGCCTTCACGTGGGGAACTTACTCGCCATCATCGGCCTGTTACACTTCCGCGGCTCGGGGCATCACGTCCTGGCACTTCTCGGTGGAGCCACAGCGCAAATCGGAGACCCAAGTGGAAAGACGAGCGAAAGAGAAGCTCTGTGTGCGGACACAGTGGAAGCAAATACACGTAGTATACGAGAGAGCCTGCAGAGAATATTCACCAACTATGAACTGTATTTCCACAATAGCGCGAAGAAACTTGGCACGGTGACTGTACTGAATAACCTGAAATGGTACAAGGATTGGGACGTGGTGAGCTTTCTGTCCCAGGCGGGTAGACACTTTCGGATGGGCACGATGCTGAGCCGCCACAGCGTCCAGTCGAGGCTGAAGAGCGCAGAGGGCATGAGCCTCACCGAGTTCACGTACCAAGTGTTCCAGGCCTATGACTTCTATCATCTGAACCAAATATACGGCTGTAAGATTCAGCTGGGAGGGACTGACCAACTGGGCAATCTAATGTCTGGACACGACTACATTCACAAGTAAAGCCCCAGCTTGGATATGTTTTATTCTTGTAAATATTTCCATCAATATGTAGAAAGTGCACAAATGACTTTCTTAATTTTCTGCTGGGGTCTGTCACAGGCTCGTCTCCATGGAGGTTCTGGTATTCGACTTTAATTTTGTTGGATTTATTCAATTGTAGGTGTCAAAGATGATCAAAATAACCAACCAATACATTCTTACTGTGACTCAGCTCACCACTCACATCTGACCAGTCTGGTTTGGTAGCAGCATCTGGTTGTCTAAATGGAGATAGACTAGTATAATGCCATAGTGTGTAACATATCTGGAAAAGGAATTACATCTCCACAGAGGTAAAGCAGGTGACAGACCCTGCACAAGGAAAACATCTTTAATGATTCAATAGAAGCAGCAAGGGATATAAAGATCGCCTCTGCAACAATTATTTCTGCTAAACTTCTGCTTTAGACAATTATATTATGATATAAAATACATTCATAAAAAATAACACATTTAGAGGCTTTGCTATTGTCCAGTCTTAGCCGTTGTAATATAGAATAATAATCAAAATAGGTTGCAGTTCAAGTGTAAACATGATGAAGTTATTGATAAAAAGAGGTTTATGTTTGACACTTCGGAGACTATTTCGTTGTTCATTGATAACATGTGCAATAGTTGAAAATATATTTTTTAAATTATAATAAAAGTTGGTATTGTTTTTGTATGATGAATTCTTACATTGTTAAAGTGACTTCATTGTATTGTTTCATTCCTTTGCAGAGTCAGTGGGCAGGAGGTATATGGCTTGACCATCCCTCTGGTCACTAGCTCTGTGGGAGATAAGCTGGGGAAAACTGCAGGCAACGCAGTGTGGCTGAACCGGGACAAAACCTCTCCTTTTGAGCTCTATCAGTTCTTTATCAGGCAACCAGACTCTACAATAGAAAGGTGTGTGTGGATGTTTTGACTTTTTGATTCATAATTGAGTCATAATCGTCAATAATTCCTTTATTTGTATCACCAGGTACCTGAAGCTGTTCACTTTCTTGCCTCTGGCTGAGATTGAGAGACTGATGGAGCAGCAGAGAGAAGATCCAAGCAAACGCCTGGGACATAAACGGCTGGCCGCTGAGGTGACCAAACTGGTGCATGGGAAAAAGGGACTGGAGAGCGCTAAAAGGTTTGTGAATAGATGTTTTTAATAATCAAGCTAGCATTTTAATCAAGTGTAAAAATAGATTTGGTATGTATATGGAAGCTACTGTACAGTTGCATTACAAGAACTGCTCTATAGGGCTGGGCTATATAATACAGGGATATAGTGATATGAAACATGAATATGAATAAATATATTATATTGTGTGCAATCACTGCAGCTGATTTTCCTTATACTGAGATTTTGGCGATTTGCTACTACTGAAGACTAGAGCGACTTAAACACTGACTAAGGAGGCTCTGTAGGGGCTAAAAATACGGAAAGATAAGTTGTGATGAGTAGAAGCTGAACTTATAGCCATAACTTGAATATCTCTGGGCATGGGATGATATTGTAATTTTGTGTCATGATTATCATGGCAAAAATAATTACAATTATCAATAATATCACAATAATGATTAAAGTTGCTGACAGTTTAAACATTTTATGGATAATTTTATCTTTGTTATCAGTGAAAACAGCCAGGATTTAGAGGAAAATAAATGGATAAATAGTTTTTTTGTGAACATTCTGGTGATACAAGGGCAATTATTGTTTGTGATTATCACGATTATATAAAATGTCCACAGATTATTTTTGTCTACCATTTTTATCACAATAAATGATATTGTTTATTGTCTCATCCCTACACATAACAAATAAGTATTGTCAATTATCTCTTTTTAATTGCACATTTTTTCTTTTATTATATTGTGATAAGAAATGTAGACAATATCCTCTTACCCCAGTAAGTAATATGTGCAAAGAGTTGGTCATTTAGGATGTAAGGGGTAGAAAATTTTTTACCTACAACTGCAGTGTGCGAGTTGGCCACCAGATGTCGCTGTTATGGCATGATGCGACCTTAAAGGTGTGCCTGAAATGTTCCACAGTATGACATTAAACAGTGGTTTGGTCTCCATGAAGACAGAAAGGTTTAATACTGTGAAACATTCCAAACAAAGAAATAGCATTTAATGGAGAAAAGTATTTGACCTTCTAACAAAAAAGTTCCTAATGCACATTTGAAAAAAAATATATATATAACAAATTTTGTAATCATAATCATGTCAGGCATCATGCTCTTGAATGCAGCTTTCATAATTGATATATATGAACTGTTGCTATTGCTAACCATAGATATGTTAATAATAACAATAACATAATAAATTATGTTTTTTTTTGTTTAATTTTTTCAGATGCACCAATGCTCTGTACAACAGCAGTGTGGAGGCCCTGGAGCAGATGACTGATGAGGAGTTACAAGAGCTCTTCAGAGAGGCGCCGTTCCTTGAGACACTGTTTGAACCTGGAACCACAGTGATAGAAGCCTGCAGGAAAGTCAACGCCATCCCCGACGGCTCAAGAGGGTAAGCACTAAGCATTAAGTGGTGTTGGATTGCTTGTATGAAAATCAACTTATTAGATTTTTTTTTACCTGGGATGTTAATGTTTTATTTTCTTTCAATCTACAGAACAGGATATTTTGTATTATTTTATGCAGTAGGCAATGTCAAAATAAGATCAAACTGTGGTTCATGTACAGCTGCTACACGTGAGTTTCAGCATCCTGTTATATGCAAGATTTTGAGGCCTTTTTCCCATTCAAAAGATATAGTATTTTGCTTTTGAAATTGTTAATCACTATCATGTTTTTTCCGAATGATGCAAAATTAGGACCATTGAAATAACATAAATATATGTTGTTTTAAGGAATTACAATTGGGTTTTAACTCATGCTAAAAGTTAATAAGATATTTGCATTCTTATATGTAATAAGTTGTATGGAATTGCCACATAATTATTTAACTAAACTATATTTCCATGTTTTTATGTAGGCATCGCATGGTTTCTGAAGGAGCTGTCCACATCAATCACTGCAGAGTGGACAACCCAGAGCAAGTTCTGGTTCCAAAGGTCCACATTCTGTCCAATGGGCTGAGTCTAATCCGAGTGGGCAAGAGGAACTTCTACATCATTAAGTGGCTCAGTTTATGAGACCTGGGACACTACTAAAGGACCTATGATGCACTTTAAAGTTTTCCGTTCAGGTAGGGCCATCTCTCCTACAGGGAAACATGGTGCACTGTCTGCAAATATGGCAGAAGCTGTTGGTTACTGTATAAAGATGTATGTGGTTTTTACATATTCTGTGTAGAAGAAATTAAGTTTCATATTTAATAAAATACTTGGAGACTCTTTTATAGCCAGTTTCACAAGTTCATTGAAAATGCATCAGTACCACTAGGGGTCAGCATTGTCCCAGCTATCATAAATGTCTTACGGACCCACAACCTCCTTTTTAAAAAGTAACAAATACGTCCAGAAAAAAATATATAAAAATTGAATTATATATTTTTTTTAAATATTAATAAAGTTGTATTGAAATAGACTGATTATTATAATTTAAATTCCTAAAGCCACACATACCCCAAAAATAGTGTCCATTTTTATGCAGACTGAGGGGTGTAAACTACTCTTTTAGAAAAATTTGAAAATCCTTCTGAATTGTTCTAGACTTATACTTTTCATGAATTGTGTTTTTTATTATTATTATTATTATTATTTTAATCTTTCATCTTTAGGTCTAGTTCCAGTTCTGACATTTACAATATCTTTCCAAGCAAAGCTGTTTCCTCACTTGGTGTAAAAAGTGTTGATTTTAAATTTGCACACACAATATTCCAAATGCACATGATCTATGCCCTGTAAAGTTACTTTTATTAAATTTGCTTATTTTATTTAGGGTTTGATTCATTAACTGAAAACTCATTTATTTACAATGTTCCTTTTCACACATGACTTACACTTCATTGTCAAAAATATTTACCTTGCACAATTGGATTCTTACAGGGACAGAAAATATAAGGAATTATAAAACATTTCAGCAAATAAATAAGACTTATTCTGTAATGTCAGTTTTCTTAATCACTCAGTTGTGTGCATGTAAAAGATTATACATCTGATTCTAAATAGGTTATAAAAATAGGTTGGTGATTGCATAATAGATTTTCTTCGCAAAATGTAATTCATTGCAATTTAGAAAAAATATATATATGTGTGTGTATTTTTCAATTAATCAATGACTTAAATCAATTAAGTAAATTATACCAGTGTAGCCTGGTAGTGTTTATTATAGTAATATACAGTCATGAATATAAATGCTAAAGAATTTATAAAAACTACAGCCTAAACACATAAATGCTAAAAGAGGCCCACCATCGTTTTGGGGTTAAAAATATATATGTATATACTGTTAATTATCATTTCGGTCAAGAGAAATGGTAAAATGCGAGGGATTCCACATTTATGGTCCACCTTAAAGACAGGGGCGGGTCTAAGCCATTGGACCAATGAGAAGCCTGCTATGTATTTAAATAGCTGTGTCAATCATTTTTTTCTTCTCCCCCAGTCAAACCTCCCTGCTCAATCCCCAGTACGTCTCTCAATCGCCATATTGGGTACTGATGGTTTGTCCGCAGTTTCGCTCACTACTGGACCAAATTGACTGAGCGGCTTCAGTTCCTCTGCACTTTGTTTTCATGACCGCTGGAGCGTGCTTTTGGCAGAACACCGCCGCGTCCATTACCGACTGCACCGTGACGAGTGCGCATGGCATAAGTCGTTTTACGCGTGTTTTGGATATTGCTCGGCGTCAAGGAGATACCCGTTGTTATTGAGCGGCTTGTTTTTTTCCCTGTGAAACATTTGGACGCTTCGGGCCGCTTGCATCTCTTCACGTTTCTGGAGGAGGTAAAATGTCAGATGTGCGTCTTTCAAATGGGAGCCCCACGTTGGAGAGGACGGACTCCCGTGTGCCGGATCACCCCAAACCGTCTGCCTGCAGGAACCTCTTTGGCTCCGTGGATCACGAAGAGTTAAAGAGGGATTTAAAGGGACATTTGCGGGAGATGGAAGCGGATGCCTCTGACAAGTGGGGCTTCGACTTCGCAAATAACACGCCGCTTTCAAACAGTCGGCTAACCTGGGAGCGGGTGGATTGTAGAACGGTCCCGGATTTCTACAGCAGGCAGCCGCATAGGGAGAAGGGCGTTTGCTCCGCTGGGAATAACCATGTGGATTTGAATGGGAATCATAGCTGTGTTGTTGTGAGCCCGAGCGAAGACAGGTCTGACGGGCAGATGGAGTGCCCGGAGCAATGTGCAGGAATGAGAAAGAGACACGCATGCAACGGTACGAATCATTTTCTCTATTTTGCTTCGTTTTAGCGCATCAAGCCAGCGTAAATGGGCTGTACAGTGTAATGGTTAAGCACTAATTTTTGCAAGTGGACAACAAAGATACGCTGTAGTCTGTGTTGAAGCCACTCATTCATTTAAACTTTGCTTGACAGAACATTCGGCCCAAAGCAAGAGGTCGTACAGCAGCACCGAGGAGATGAGCTGTCCCGGTCTGAGCCGCTCAACAGAGCACACACCCAGAAAGAAGAGTCCCAAAAGGCAAACGTAAAAGTGGTAAGATTTGAGAAACTTATCCAACATTTTGTCATTGCCAACAGTGTTTAAGCAATATTGTATTTAATTGTAAAGTTGGATGTAGTCTTTCTGAATACGCAAAGTCAGTGCGTACCAACGTGTTTTGTCACCACTTCAGAGTTGTAGTAGTATTTGTTGTAGTAGTAACCTTCATGCTACCCCCGGGCCGCTCACTGATTGTGCAAGTGGAATAGTATTTAGGGCGTGCGAAGTTTTGACAAGCAAGGTGTTTTTGTTTTTGTGCGAACACGTCAAGGGCGTTGTCAGGTTTCCTCCTTCCCCTACGCACTTCTGCGCCATAGTAGTGACTCCACACCGTCGTCTGATTCGGCGTGTATTGTATTTTTTCTTGACTTACGTGCCATATATCCTTTTTAAAAATCTAACAAATATGGTTCAGTGTATTTTGGAGTCTTGTAGTGGCGCTTTTGTGCATTTTACTACGGCCACGATGCGCCCTTAGTATCCGAGAGCATTGTAAACAAGTCTGGTGAACAACAGTGTAGTAGTAACACGTCAGCAGCCACTGCCCTCAGCCGGAGCAGAGCGGGGACGGGAAGGGGCTGGCTCTTTCGGTCTGTGTATGTGTGTGTGCGCGCGTGTGTGTGACTGTAAGTGCGCGCAGTGCACCAGTGTTCAGCAGCACACATCTGCACAAAGTCAAGAGCGCAGAGAGCAGTGAAATCTAGTGGAGCGCAGGGACAAGGTGAATTTGAACTGACAATGTGAACTGCCTGTCGGCAGGCATTATGTGAAGCAAGGCTTTATTTGTTGTTCAACTCTTTGTGTTCTAAAGAAGTGTGTGGAAGTACAATTTTGTTAAAAAGTAATTATATTATTTTCTTTTTTTCCTAGATGCCAGTAACATTAAATGTTACATATATTTTTATAATGTGTTTCAAAAGCAGCAGACTATTAATTAACCTTGTTGTGGTGTGTTCACAGAGCCTGTGAGGCTTGGGAAAAGTCAGTGTTGGCCGATGGAGGAGGAACTACAGCACCAGAAACATATCATCTCTCCTGACGACGGGAGGACGCTGTTCAAGCACTGAATAGAAACACTAAAGTTGTGGCACTCAATTAAAAGTTGCTGCCTCTAAAAGCAGTCAATGTAGCAGTGTGCAATTAGGTTTGATTTCCTTTTTTGCTCATTTTTACTACCTGTGTGTACATAAATATATTATATATAATATTATATTTCTCTCCATATGTAGCACATAAAACATTATGATTTGAAAACAAATCTCTTTATGTTAAAAAGTGTGAATTTTGATTTAACTTGAAGAATTGCAGTGTAGTTTGAGAAATGTTTCCCAAATGCTGTTCTGTTTTTTTTGTTTTGTTTTTTTTTCTTCAAAAAGGCATTGCTACAGTTTCCAATCATGGTTTCTTATGGTTTAAGTGTGCCTCGTCATCCTCCTGCACCCGCAGTGAAGAACGGTACAAATGTAGCTCTTTTTTTCTTCCTTTAGTCATTTCAGTGTCACAAAGTGCAAGTTCTCCCATAAAATGGCTTTATCGGATGTTTTTCATTTAGTGTTAGATCTATTTGATCTTCATTATATAAAACCTTATTTATTTTCTGTGGTGCTTTGGCATCAGTCTAAACCTGGAATCGTCTCTTTAGTTCCCTCTGTAGAGTAGAGGTACTCAGATATTGAAGGACAAAGACCATAACTGCACAGGGTGTTAGCGTTTGACTGTTTCTTTAGCCTAAGGCTCTGGTGAGGACGAGGCTGTCTGAAACAAGCCGAATGTCCTACAATACCAAATACATGGTTGCTTCTGTATATGACTTCACATTGTATTACATTGTGATAACTAACCTAGAGTTAATTTCCATAATTTTATTTTGAACTCACGTGGTTTTCCTGCTGAGGATGCAAATCGAAGTATCCAAAAGCGTCCCTTTTATTTGCCTAAAGTGTGGGTTATGTCCAGTGTAAACAAAGAGCGAACGCTTGTGTCAGAAGTGCAGTCATCATGCCTGTGTATTTGTGTAAATCTTTGCAATGTACCTTTGTACATAATTTTGTAAAAACACTGAGAAATTATACTAACTTATTTATGTCAAACTTTTTTATGTAGATTAAAATGGGGTTTTGATTACAGTTATCCAAAGTGGCATTTACTTTATTATAATTGTCTTATTTTGTAAAACCATATTTTTGGTAGATTTTGTTTTTCAGATAAATATGGTTGCAAACTGAGCCTGATAAAAAATATTTGATGTGCATTTTGTAATGTGTGGTTAAAATGTGTTGCAATCAATTAAAAAAGAAATATAAGTTGATGAATTTGTAGTAGTGTCTTACTATCTAAAAATATGTTTAGGTTCTGTAGTGTGTGTGTGTGTGTGCGCGCGCGCGTGCCTCTGTTGAACTAAACACTCCCGTTATGAAAGAGTCCATTTTAAAGAGTGATGATTGACACTTCAGTCAGCCAATCAGAGACAGACAATGGAAAGCAGACCACATGTAGCAGCTATAGTACCATTCAGTAACATGTCATGGCTTAATACAAACTCACATACAATGAAATAACAAATTTTTCCATATTATTTTAATTGTATAGTTTTAAATATTTTATATACAAGTTTAAAACCAGTAACAAAATGAGCATATTGCTACCAGAATGTTGCAGCAGTGTGGGTTATCTTCTAGGACTTACTGTTGTGTTTTTTAAAATTCTAGTTTTATTTCAGAAGCATTCGTATATTTTTGCATGAGCCCTGGCTGTCATGTTGAGCGTTATATGACCACACTGCTCTTATCCAGACCCTGATGACCTTTGACCTGCTCCTCTCCACATGTGTCTGTCTTCTGTCTGTCTAGAGACATCTCCTCCACTCTGACAGGGACACACCTGCACCTGCTTCTAAGACCCCCTCCCTCCCCCATAGCCCCCGTCCCTGGTGTACGTTATGTCCTTCAGGTGGACAGAAGTTCAGCTCAGCCCCCACCATGAGTCCAAACCATTGTCCTGGACCCTTTGTGTGTGTGTGTGTGTGCGCGCGCGTGTGAAAGGGAGGCTGTTGTGTCTGGACGTTTTGGTGAAGACAAAGAGTCGTCTACGAGCCTACGTCTACGAGTCACTAAGTGACCAGCCCACTGACTGACTGACTGCATGGGTCACTGGGCCCGCGTGGGAGTGGCCCCAGGCTGTAAGAAATACAGGGCTAATTACGTTTGCACATTAGTTATATAAGCATGAGTTGAATAACTTTTCTAGTACACTTAACAAGTTTAGAATTTGCATAAAACTGCACTGAATTAACGCAGCAAAACCTATGATTCCTGATGATGGTTTTTGCATGGCTCTAGTCTAAGAATCTAATGTATACCACCTGTTTTATGTTCCACGCCATCAGTTTTATGCCATTCTGTGGAACATTCCTGGCAAAGCAATGCACTGGGTTTCAAAGTGATGAAAATCATGCAAGCATCACTTCCATATGCATATTTATCTGTGCCCACCATGTCAAATTACAAGTCAGGTCTGTGAAAAGACACAGTTTGTGGGTGATGAGTGTTTTCAATGTTTTTAAGTGCATCAAGTTTGTCATCAATTAACATTTTTACTATTCTCTGCCCGCTGAATGTAATTTATCATTGCTTAAAAATGTACTTATAAATATGCACATCATTATATTACATCATTTTACTCATATTGATAACATAATCTATTATACTATTTTATCTTTGTTACTAAAATGTTTTTTATCTGGTAGGTTCATGTCAAAGTAATTTCCTCTGTGGTTCTATAATGTGAAGTCTTTGACCTATAACTTACATCTTCATTATATTTTTTCAGTCATAACTCTCAAGCCCTGACAATTGAAGTAACAACAGGGAGGGCATCTGGAGTAAAAAAAAAAAACCTTGTCAAAAATGTATTTAAAGTCAACACTGAAATCAGTACACACTTGTGAATTCAGATTACTTGCCTTGACAAACCTCAAAAGTCAAAAAGAAAGAACACAAAAGACCTAAGTGGACCTGGCACTTCCTGACGCAACACTGCAAATTGTTGCATAAGGAACAGCACTTGACCAACAGCAGGAATGTCCCTCTCCCTCACCTCTCCACCCAAACACGAAACAAAACCCACTGTGCACTGGAGGAAATGCCTTTTACACACTCCATCACAGAGAGATGGAGGCAACATGGCGACTAAATTCTCTTCTCAATATTTTTGCCAAGAATTCACACTTCCTCGTATCGACGTAAACAGGTTATCTTTTCCTGTTAACCTCTCGAGCACTTCATATAAAACCGCAAGTTCCTCCCCGAGCTTCCTGTCCAGGCCACAAACCACGTCAGCATGAGATTCCCTTGGCACCATGGTCGTGAATGAGAGCAAACAAACAGCTGGCATCATCACTGTCTGCCAAACTATGTCATGTACTGATGAACTGTAAATGAAGCAAAATAAAAACAAAAATCTACCACTGGTTCTCAGATGCTTTAGAAGATTGGGTTTGGATTAGTTTGAAGTGTGTATGAAGTGGATTAGACTAAACAAATTTCACCAAAAGTTACCAGTTAATATCATTAAGGCTATACACTTTTTTTTTTTTTTTTTTTTTTTTCAGTGAAGTCAGATGTACTTCCTGGTTGGGCAACAAATGTCACATACAGGTAATTCCACCACTGTTACTCATAGCAAACATAATGTTAACAAGGCCCCAAACTGCTAAAGTACACAACAACTGATTAGACTAGACTAATAAAAATATTTTTTTTTTACTTTATTAAATCAATGTCTTCCTTGCACTAAATGGTCCCATGCATTTTGGATATTAGATGTTGTATTTTTCCCACAAACTGCCACTTAACTTTGTGTAATGATGTATTATGTTGAGTTAACTTAACTTACACACTTAAACACGAAGAACTCAAATTATTTTCTTTGGATTAACATAAAATAAAAAAGATGACATTAACATATTTAGTTATGACCTGTATTCATTTTTCTTGTGTTGTAGTGTTTTAATATTTTCATCTGTAAAATATGCATTGAAGATTTATTATTTTTAGGAAACCTTTTAGAACACTTTTGACCAAAGACAAGTTGAATACTGCTACTACTGTTACTACTAGTGGAATATTATGGACTGGAGTCATTGAGAGAACAGGGAAACAGTTGGATCCCTCCCATTAGACTTTCTCAAATAGTTTCTAGATTCTCCAAATCTTTCCTGGATTCTTGACCCCAAAAATGTAGTGAAAGTGGAATGCATTCACCCAAACAGGGATCAAATGAAGCCTTGTCAGGTGATGAACAAAAGCTAGAAAGATGTTCCTGGAACATCGACGCTACTGGGAAATCAGATGTGCAGATGTGGCGATTTTTCTTTCGTTTTTTTTTTTTTTTTTTTTTTTTGGATAAGCCCAAACGTAGTAGGCCAAAGGAGGGGGAGGTGGCAGTGCTCATTAAAGCGGTGCACCTGCATCCTATCAAAGAGCCTTTATCTGTTATCAAGGAGAAATCTGCTCAAGCACGCGGCATACGTGAAAACAAGCAGAGTGTGGCGTCCGCTCATTCTCACTCTCTCCTCCTCTCCTCCTCCTCCTCCTCCTCCTCTTCTTCTTCCCCTCTTCCTTACCAGCCCAGTGCAGGTACCTGGGCTGTAATCCGGTGAGGAATGCTCGGGGATGCGTTGGGATGCGGTTGGCCGGCACACACAGGGAAAGCTCGGGGCTGAACATCTGTGCTGGAGTATAGGCCAAGTGTGAGTGCAGGCTCAGAGATAGGCTCTGAGAGACAGGCTCTTTCAGTCAGCAGTAATGCAGTGGTGTCGAAACACAGGCACAACTATCAAGACATTTGGCACTGTTTTATATGGCCATGTGTTTGAGAAAAGTACACTGTATATTCTGGACATTGTCAGATTTAGGTATTTTAAGAGAGCCCATTTGAAGCACAATTGGAAAGTTCCAGTGCTTCAATGTAAAGTTCAAGAACAGTTAAACGGAACCAATCTAACTAGAATATTAAACACAGTTTGACTAGAGATACAAAAGATGTAAAGCATATAAGAAAGTTTTTAACATTGCACGAATGAAAAGCTCTCTAAAATGTGTTTTCCCATAATATATTAAAGAGGTTATTAACATCAAGTTTTAAAATATATAAATCAATATATAGAAAAAGTATAGCCATGGGTTTCAGAATGATGAGAATCTAGAACAGATGCTATAGTGATCAACAATTTAAAACTAAATATTATATCATTTGAATAGGCAAAAGTCTTCAAAATGTTGCAGGTAACTGAAAGCTTAAACCCATGCATATTCAAGAATATTATTTGGCAGTTCAATTACTTGCTTTAGATAAACTTAATTCACGTAATATATTTCAGTCAACTTTTCACATTTCACTGCCTTTAATTTTTTGTATATGTCTGGATTTTGACTAGGATCCCATCTCACATTTTGTTGAATTGGCATTATGTATTATAATGACTGGACAGTAAACGTTGAGATTCAGTGTATTTTCTCAAAATGTTTTTCTATTATTTACTATCGGTTAGTCATATGCATTGTAATAACTATATGCAGGTAAAGTGGCTCAATGAGTATTTGAGTTGACTCACTGATTTCTGTGAAAGTCTCCAAATTACAGATCTAAAACACAGACACAAAGCAAATACTAAAAATACCATAGCTTAGCCACTAAACGGCCCCAACTCAATGATTTCCTGTTTCCAGTGGGCTTTACATAGATGCTGTGATTAAAATGATTGAAAAAGCAAATTTATTTTATGTCCTTATTGAATTTTCCAGAGAATGATGATGAAGATGAGAGGAAGGGCGTGTCGCAGGATGTTGCAAATATTTCCATATGATGCAACGTTTGGTAACGTTTGCACTGCTGTATTCAGTTACATGAGCGACCACAGCCTCTTTGAAATCACAGATTGTCTTTTTGATTCTTTATGTCAAGCGCAATGACAAATTAGCATTACACTGACGAGCAAAGGAGAATTTTTTTTTTTATTGTATTACTATAGCTCTGTGTTACACTGGCTTCTAAATTATTCTATGTTTAAAATGTCAGCATTGTTTATGTTGTTTACACTAGTTTTGCTCTGGTGTATTTTGGTTTAGCTCAAGTTCTTCTTCTTTAGACCTGATTTGATTTTCTTTTTAAAAATACATGGTGCAACATTTCTAGTGGAGGGATCCAGCACCTGCAAGTCTCCATGAGATATTATTTCTTTGCCTCAAATGTTCCAGAGTATAGCATTAAAATAATCTATTTATACAATTACATCTCTGTTATTGTTAA